CATATTTACGATGGTATAAAAGATAATGAGAAAGAAACTTGGGTAGATTATTTTTTAACGCATAAAAATATTTTTGCATGGTCATATGTGGATTTGAAAGGAATTCTAGCTGAAGTTTGTGAGCATCGAATTATATTAGAGGAGAACGCTAAATCGGTACAGGAGAGGCAACATCGCCTTAATCCTAAATATTCCCTCATCATGAAGGAGGAATTGGACAAGCTTCTTGCACTTGGTTTTATTTACCCAGTATCAAATAGTGAGTAGGTTTCTTCAATCGTAATGGTACCAAAAAAAAATAGAAAAATCTGAATTTATCAAGATTTCTGGAAACTTATGTGGACATCCAGAAAGATTACTTCCCATTACCTTTCACGGACAGTATGGGTAACATGTTGTCATTATTATCAGGTAGTAAAAGAATAGAAGTGAGGCACGAGTTAAAATCATTTTGTGGTGTTGTTTTGGATTGGTTGGAGTGCTATTTTCTTGTATTTCTTGTATTTTAGAGAATAGTAGTTCCAGTTAAGAGTTAACAGTGAGGAGTCAATTACAAGTCTCGATTGAAGATGTTCGAGAATGGAGGAGTTAGCAGCAACAAAAATTGGAACTTTGGAATGTCCAAATCTTGAAACTGGAAGCTCAAGTCCGTGAATTGGGAGAGTATAATGAAGATCTCTCAAACCAGTTGAGGAAGGAGTCAATGGACGAACTGGAGAAGGATGAAGAAGATTTATAATTGGAACCAGATTCGGTGGAACGTACATTCGATAATGCAGCAAATGATCAATTGGGTGGGCCAGAGGAAATAGTACCTTTGTAGAATTTTGTTAAGTAGTTTTTAGATAGGTAACAATTGTGTGTTTAAAACGGCAGTGCACAATTAGGAGTGGAGCTATGTAGAATAGGTAAATAAATTTTGTGATAAGTTACTGGTTGGTTATTGACAACCTTGAGAATTAGACTTATGGTTAGGCAGTTTAGTTGGTAACATTAGGTTGTTAGTAAAACAAATGGTTAAGAATTCAAAGGGTCATAACCTTTGGAATCTGCTGGTCGATGGTCCATCTTTTGGGTAGGATAAAGAGGTTGAGGAAAGAGAGTAGTAAGCTAGACTGTGGGAATCACAAGCCGGGGAGCCAGACTGTGAGAGTCGTAAGCTGAGGTAAGCTTGGTGCTACCTCTTTGTTTTCTTTGTTTTTATTATTTTCTTATGAAGAATTGTCATTGAGAGAAATATTGTTAAAACTGTGATTAGAATATTGTGGAATATGACTTTGGATTGACCGATTTGGAGAAAATCTATGACCTTGAGATAGTTAAAAATATGAGTTTTTGAAATAATTGACAAAATATATATATATATATATATATATATATATATATATATATATATAAGGTAGATTTCTTATTATTGACTAGAACTAATTTTTTTAGTAGTGGTGTATATACAAAGCAACATTCAAATTTCTTTAAGATTTTTTTTATAATTTTTTTTTATTAATAAAAATCTCTCTTGAAGTTCTATCAAAATTAACTTCTAAATATTGTTAAATAATTTTGAAGTCAACCATATCAAATATACTTTGATAATAATCTTTTAATTAAATAATAAGCTTCATGTCACTTCCAATAACAAATAGATTGTCAATATATAACATAAGTATAACAATATCACCATTCTTATATATGTAATACATGTTTGCATCAAAATTACTTTTTATCAAATGTATGTTTCTTAGCACACTATCTATCCTTTCATACCAAGCCTTGGATAATTATTTTAGCTTGTTGATAGATAGTTTGAATTTTCACACTAGTCCTCTTTTTTTAGATGAGATGAAATCATTTGGTTGAATTAAGAAAACTTCATCTTTAAGAACACCATTTTAAAAAGTTATTTTTACATCCATGTGATGTTTAATCCAATTATTAGTTGCTACTAAAGATATAGCAGTTTTTATTGTAGACCACTTAATAATAGGAGCAAAATTCTTCATAAAGTCTATACTTCTTTTTTGTTCAAATCCTCTTATAACTAACCTTGCTTTTTTCTTGTTCGGTTGTTTGTTGATTTCAGATTTCAATTTAAAGATCTACTTCAATGATATGGAATACTTCCTTTCACATAATTCTTCTAATACCTAAGTGTCAATACTATTGATAGAGTCTATTTCTTCTTCTATTGTTTTTTTCCAACCTAGATCATTATAAGTTTTTTTAAAGTCAATGTTTTTACCTTATGAACTAACTTCTTCACTTTTTATAGAATGGTCATTGAAACTTTTCAAATTCAATTAATACAAGTCATAATCTTTTGTTGAAACATAAACATGATAATTGTCTAATTTGATGTTTGTTTTTTAGATCTCATGGATTTACAAACAAGAGGGATGATTTGAAGAGAAGAATAAAGAATGTGTTTATGGACACAATTTTGATCTATTACTCTTGGTATTAAAATACTTATCATAGATTCATTTCTTTATCGACATAATTTCGATCTATTACTCTTGGGATTATAATGCTTATCATAGATTCATTTTTTTATTGACACAATTTTGATCTATTACTCTTGGTATTAAAATGTTTATTATAGATTCATTTCTTTATTGACACAATTTTGACCTATTACTCTTGATGTTAAAATACTTATTATATATTCATTTCTTTGTACATTTTTTTGTTGATATTGTTGGTATCAATTTGCTAGGAAGAGGATTAATTTTTTTTATTGTATCATTGGATAATATATTTTGGTTAATAAATAAATCAAAAACTCTTTTTAATAATGGAATTGAGGATAAAATAAGTTTCAGGTCAAATTTTTCTTTATTATAAATAATATCTTTAAAAATAATTATCTTTTATTTAAGAAAGTCATAGCATCAATAAAATTGGCTATTTTTATTCTAGCTTATGAATAATATATATAAATCTTTTGAATCTATAACTTAAAGATATATAGCAATATTCCACACAACCAAAAAATTATAAGTAAAATAGGTCAGGTTTGTATTTGATAAGTACTTCCTTTGGAGTTAAAAGTCTTAAAGCTTTTGTCAAGGACCTATTTTGTATATAAATCATAGATTTTACATCTTCCTCCTATAGATATTTATGTAAAAGATTACATAAAGTAGAATAAATTATTTTTAATTATTTTTTTGTAAATCAATTTTTCTTCTTATGAACATGTTTCTTATGTATTTTCCTATGCACACAACTTTTACAAACTTCTTTCCTTAAGAATAGTTATAATATTACACCAACTAATTCTTAGTTAGATAAGTGATACAATGACTAAAAGTTAATATGACCAATCCTTTATTGCTAAAGTTAAATAATATCTTTAGAAACATACGGTGTTTTTGATCCATGTATCTTATTTGTTGTTTTGTTGATACTTAAAATATTATTTTCTTTCGGTAATGAAGTAGCCAAGAGTAAGTCATTATCATTTTCCATAATATGGTAAAGTTTATTCTTTGCTCAAATGGCTTGTATATAACCACTCCTTGGATTGTCTTTATTAAGCACATAATAAGATGTGGAGTTGAATAATATAACATGTACTAAATCCACAAATTTTTTATTTAATAATTTATTTTAACACAAGGAATGTAAAGAATATTTTTGAATGTATCTCCAAATGAGTTTTTAAGAGATACATTCATTTGTCCAAGTACATAAAGGATTTTTCCTCCAGTGGTTTTAATATTAAAAATATTTGATTCTTCTATTTTTAATAGCAACTATTTGTTTTCAATTACATGTGAACTTGCTCTACAATCTAAGTACCATTTGTTGTCAAAATCAAATGCATTAAAATATGCAATCAAAGTAGTTTAACTAGAAGGATCTATTGAATAGTCTTCTTCATCATTATCTTCTACTATATTGATAAGATTATTTTTCTTTATTATTAATAGTTGAAATTATAGTTCTTCAATTTGGTTCTCTAAGTTCTTAACATATCATTATTGGAAAAAATAGCTTAATTTGCCACATTTGTGGCAAGTGATATATTGTTTTGATCCTTATTCTAATTTAATTGTATTGTTGTTTGTTGCAAATAGACAATGATTGTATCTTCTTCATCAATGATGACATTTAGAAGAGCATCTTCTTACATGTTAATAAGAGCTTTGACTTTTGAAGCTAGAGTCACAAAAATATTCTTTTGTATATAATATCTCTTCATTATCTTTGGTTTTTTCAAGTTGACAAGAAACTTCTTCTTGTAACAATAATCCTTCTAATTTGGAAAAGATAAGTAATATAAGTCTTATTTTTTGAATTTGCTTGAAGGTAGATTGTGTAGAGTCAAATCAATAATGTCTTTATGACATATCGCAATACCTATCCTAGCTAAATAGTTAAGTAGAAAATTATTTTCTTGCAAGAAATCATCCAAATTCTTCATTTCTAATAAACAAAGTGCATCCAACTTTTCCCTCAAAGCAAGCTCTTTGTTTACATCTTATATATCATACAACATTTACAATTGTTTTTAAATAGTTTGAAGTTCAAGAATACCAATAATATGAGAAATAATATATTTGTATATCAAAGAGGTGAATAGTAGTGATAATACCTATTTAATTCTGAAATAGTAGTGACTATTGTATTTATATTGGTCTAATCTTGTGATGTTGTGGAGGAGTTTGTGCCAATAGATGAACTTGTGGACTCTTCAATATTAATACGAATAGATGTGGATGTTTCAATCAACCTCTACAAATTTTCTTACAATAAGATCATTTGAATTCTATAGTTCTATGGTATGTAGTTAGATGCTCCATCTAACTTCATAAAATCAAAGATGTCTCTTACAAGTCAATCTATAATTCTATATTGTAGATAGTATGTACAAAGACAATCCTTAAGAGAACAAACTTTCTCTACTTTCCTTGAATAACTCTACCTATTCAAGAAGTAAATAATTCTATAGTATTCTCTTAGAAACCTTATTTAGATACCATATTAATATTCAATTTTTGCTCACTCAAGCACTTTATACATTCTATTCATTTGAAATGAAGGATATATTCACCTAAAATAGGTGTGAATTAGGTGGCATAAAAATTGGATATGTTCATCTATTACAAAAAGATAACATCCTAATACTTGGATGAAACCTTAACTATTGGATGGATGATGATGCCACAGATGACCTCTAATGGTAGATAGATAAATGATGGATGAATAGTGCCAACACAACAAACTCTAAATCAATTCTACATTAAAGAAAGTAATCCTAAATGGAACCATGAGAGGACAACCTTCTTGAAGTACATGTCCGGAGACTATACAACTACGATAGTACAATGGCGTCCAGTCTGGAGAATCATTGTTGGAAACACACCGAGGCAGTGCAAAAGTACTTCAAAAACAATGTTGCACACACAAAACTGCGCCGATATTTTCTATACAAATAAGTAAGGCTTCCTTGTTCTTGTATCATAGATGTTGAAACCACCATGGCTTAGAAGTATCACATTACAGAGTTGCACCGACAAGGCCCATTGACAAGAATGAACGCTTCACTCCGAGGTGCTGAATTTGTTCACTCTCTTTTCTCTTTCTTGGTGGCGCTGGTTGATTTTTATTGTGTCATCCATTCTGTTGTCGAATGTTGATGTCTAACGGTCGCTTCTCCTTCTGATATCGAGACTCTAGGTGCCTTGGCCAATGCATAGGATAATATGAATGAAGCGAGTGTGGTGACCGCAAGAGATGTTATTTGTAGAGAGCCAGGAAGAAAAGGTGCATACCTGGCGATCCAGTTGCGAGAGCAAAAGAAGAATCCCAACCTGTGGATGCTGCAAGTGAGAAACATGAGATGAAGAATCCGTTAGAGGAGAACCGGGTGTTGCTGCTGCTGCTAACAAGGCTGCTTCGCATGTCGTCAAGAAATGAGCTCTTCGTCTTCGACCCAGCCGGTGACTTGGTACCCACACACAAGAATCCCCCTACCGAGCAGCAAAGGCATTGTGATTGACAGAGTAGGGGGTTTTCCCTTTCCCAACTCTCTGATCTTAACGGTCATCCTAAATAAGGCATTGTGATTGAGAGTGCTAAATGTATATACACAGTAAAATTGATTGGCTGTGGCAATGAGTGAAGATGCTTTTGTGTATTTGGTTCTCAGACTCCTTCGTAAAGAGATTAAGAGACACGCTGGTGGAGCATATAACATACGAATCGTGACACTCCAAGGATGAGAGGCAAGGATGAGTCTTCTTTGGTTTGAGAACCAAGGAATATTTTGAGCCGCTTTGAGGTGATGTACAGTTGCGTGGGTTGTGGACAGGAGTCAAGCTCTTTGCCATGGTTCTCTTTGAAACAACCATGCACAGCAAGCTGGGACATTCGAGATCCATCCAATGACCAAATTCATCTCGCAGTAAGATTGAATAAACTTGGAAAGCTACAGAGGTACGCATCATGGCTTCATAATACAAAAATTTGTGTTATTCTGCGGGAGAGGAATGAGGATTCGACACAGATGACCTGAGAAGAAACTATGTTGATAAAGAGAGGGAGTAGTTTGGCTCAGCTGCAACTGAATTTCAGCATTGTAACAAAAGAAAATTAGCTAGCGGATAAAAGTGATCCCGACATAGAAGAGGTTAAATGGCAGAATATATGAGGGTCTGAACCTGGATGTTAAGCCTCCCAGAGTTCCCTCCTCACGGAGTAGGGAAATAAATGTCCACGGCGACGAAGAATTTGCGTGTATACAAGTTGCACCAAGAACATTGAAAAACCGAGGATGACACAACTTTGTCAAGATTAGAATGCCTACAGCTTTGTGAAGCTGCTGAACCCGTTAAATTAAGGAATGGGGAGCAGAATGAGCAAAAATTGTCCTGACTACGTTGATTTGCTCCTCCCAAAAAAATAGAGAACCACTGCACTTTAAGTATGTTGTCCCTTGTCTAGGTTTGGCTATAATTCAAGTACTTCAAGTACCTACTCATAATATGCAATTCTAATCTTGAGGTAGTCTACTTCTATTTCTGTTACTGTGTCTGCATGGTCTCGGGTTCAGAAGCTGGTGCTGGAGCATCGGTCTCCATGGGCTCGGCAGCGGGGGCATCACCACTTGCTGGGGCTTGCTGAGCTGGAGCAGGCTTGGGCTCTGCGGTAGGGGCAGGCTTCGGTGGCGCTGGCCTTGGCTTGGTCATGATAGGTTTGCAGAACCTGTCAAGGACTTCAGTCTTTTTCTTCACTTCAGCTGAAAGTAGGACAGGATTGGCACACTTGGGTAGTACGTCTTGTTGCTGCTTCTTGTCCTTGAACCACTCCTCTGCCTTGTTACACTCGGAGACCACCTTCTCTTTGTCAGCCGCATCAATATGATCAAACTTGGGGTCCTTGCTTTGAGCAGCTTCTCGGAAACTAGTGATGCAATAGGTCAGATCCCTGATAGCGGGGCCCCTAAGCTCCTCTTCTCTTTGCCTGGTCTCTAATGGATCTCCAAGCTTCTTGAGATCCGCAAGCTTGGCAGTGTAAACGCTTTTGATTTCATCCTCTCCATCTTCATACAACCAGTCCTCAGTTTCTTGTAGCCTGGCGGACATATCCTCGCGTTCAGACTCGGTCACATAGTCTTGAAGTTTTTCGTACAATTTGCTTCTCATGCTATAGACATAAGCCTCCACGGCATTCTTACTCTCCTTGGTCTCCTCCATGACGCGATCTTGGAGCGCCATCTCGTACTCTTTCTCAACAGCCTTCGTCAATTCAGGCTGAGGTAGTCCACCGTGAATCACCTCATGCACAGATATGTCAGTCCTCTTTGCCTTCTTCTTCTTCACAACTTCTGGCTTGGGAGCGTCGGTTTCCATATTAGCAACCCCGTCCGCTGCACCATTCTCTGCACTTGATGTGCCTGCATCCTCGGGCTTCGCATCGGCAGGAGGTGCTGCCTTCTCCGTCTCATCCTTCTTCGTAACAGGTACCTCCACCTCTTCATCCTCAATCATGGTGGCAGCTTCCAATGACACAACACCATGCAGATTCAGCCTGATCTTGACTTTGATCTTTGCCTTCTCTGCCACAGTGGGCGTGAATGGACCAATCGTAAAAGTAGCAATCCTGGGATTCATGTTTGGTGGCAGTTCACTCGTCTCTGCATAGTACGCGTCGATAGCGAACGTGCTTGATCTGTAAAAGGTCAGCAACTTGGTACTAGGAACCGGATTGCCTTTCACAAACACAATGTTATTAGAGGAGACCTCTTCTTCACCCTCTGTCTCCGGAGCTGCTCCCTTCCAAGAAAGTCCAATAGCAAAGGGAAAAGAATCTTGAACCTCAAAATCACGAACACGGAAGGTCGGACTGAGCATGGCGCACTGGAGTGTACATCCGCGAGCAATACACTCGCTCGCATTCATGGTGCGACTGGGCTCCTTCCCAAACACGGAGGTCAGAATCTTCAAAATTGCAGGCACACGGGAACCGGATCCAACAACTTCCACTGCGTAGATCTTGTCCAAGCTGAGTTTCGACGCGGCGAGCGCCCTCTCGCAAGGTCCCTTCACTTTGTCCAAAATAGTTTTGGCCAACTCCTCAAACTCGTCCCGCTTAATGATTCCCCTCACATCCTTCTCATCCATCAAACACTCGACGTTCAACGGGGCAATAGGATTGGCACTCAAAATTTTCTTCGCCTTCTCGCATGCAGCACGGAGCCTGAGACTAGCACGGGCATTGGAGGGCACGTCAATCTTGTATTCTTCCTTAAACTTGGCAGAAAAGTGATTGAAGAGCACTTCGTCAAAGTCACGTCCTCCCAGGCTCCTTTCGAACTCATGACCTAAAATCTTCAGCTGACCTTTTTTAAACGCGGCTATGCAAACCTGCATACTAGCATGGCCGACGTCGACGAAAACCACATTGATCGGCTCGGTGTCAGACAAATCCGTCTTGTAGATCCCGTAAGCCAACGCTGTGGCTGTCGTCTCATGCATTAACCTCAACGGGTGCAGCCCAGCAATCTGAGCAGCATCCAAATACGCCCGTCTCTGAAGCTCGGTGAAGTAAACCGGCACGCCGATAACACAATCTACCACCGACGTCCCTAAATTCTTCTCCGCTATGGACTTCAAATTTGATAGCAGCATACCAAGAACCTGCGTAGGTGTGAATTGGCGGGGCTCTCCCAGGTACTGCACATTAATCGAAGGAAAGCCATCCGGACCCTCCGTGACCGAGAACGGAAACAGGCGCAAGTCGTTCTGCAGTTCGGGATCCGAAAATGGCCGCCCTATCATGCGCTTGATCTGAGAGATGGTGTTCTTCGGATTCATCAATGCCGACGCCGCGCCAGCTACTCCAACGAAGCGTTGCTTTTCACCGAAGGAGACCATCCCCGGCGTCTCCCGCTTGGACTCATCGTTGAGCACCACGTCAATCCCACGCTGCCTCGCTACTCCCACGATGCAGTTCTCATTTCCTACGTCAAACCCTACCACGCTCATGGTGCAAGACTTCCCTTACTATCCTCCACACCCCTTTCAGTACCGACTCTCCCGCTGTCCCTAGTCAAAAAGCCACTCTCAAAAAAAACCGCGAGTATCTCAAAACCGCTCGAAACACCTCGAGATATAGAGAACAGAAGCCTGGAGACGCTGGACTGTCTCAAAACACAGATCTAAACACGCCGAGGAAGCGCAGTTGCTAGCTGCACAACAGCATACAGCCCTGACAGTGAAGAAATGAGAATGGACGGTGCGATGCGAGAAGCCCTAGAAGACCATTCGGGAGGAGGGAGACGGCCGGTTGAGGTGTGATGGTTCCTGGAAGTCGATGGAAGCTTCTGGGTTTCGCGGGGCCTTTAGACCAAGTTTGGCGAAGGAACGGGAGAGAGCAGCCCCACTCGCTGAGTCTCTCGGATTTCCAGGCGGAGTCTAGAGCCTTCCTTCCGGAACTCTCTCTATTCTCTCTCCTCCCCTCTCCTCTGACCTGCCTACACTCCTCATTCCCCCTACCTACTTCCTTCCTTCCGACTGGGTGCCTTCGGGCAGTGTCGTTTCGGGCAGCGTCCACGTCGATTATTACCATGGGTTGGTCACAGGTGCCCGTGCCCGTCCTCGCTGTTCATCGCCCAGTGCCTCTAACCCGTCTCCTTGCCCCTCTATCCATTCCCAAATTCAAAATCCAAAATCCACTACAGAATATACGTTAAATTTTTTCATAAAAATATATTTAAAATTATTTTATAATATTAAAAATATATTATTAATTTACGTGAAAATTATTTTTTCAAATGATACTAGAATATAAAAATAAATAAATAAACAATTAAAGACAAAATGTAATTAAGTTATTGTGGGATTTTTACTTGATACTATTCTTCTCACTTATTACTTCCCTTTTTTTATTTTTTTTATGCGTGATGAAATATGAAGTAAATAATTTATTCTTTATTTCATGAAATTGATACATTAACAAATTTGTTAGATATGTGAAATGTATTTAATATGTTTTAGATTTTATTTTTTTAAGTTATTATTAATTTAGGATCAACTAAAATAATAAAACTTGTTAAGAATTCATCTTTAAAAGTCTTTTATATCATAATAAGCAAAATAAGTATTAAGAAATAAATAAAAATTGAAATGTAAAGAGATTCTAAAAAATCTATAACAATTTTTAAAATGATGAATAAATTCTTTAAATTTTGATTTTTTTTTAATATTTTTTATTATTATGATTATTATATACCATTACTTTGTAATAGAAAATGGTATATAATAATATATTTTATTATGCAAGAAAATTATATATGTTTAGTCTTCCTTTACTCAATACCATCTCTGAGTAAATGTAAAAGTGGATTGTTATGGATGAAACATTGTTTATCACATACTTTGTGTGAAGGATGCCTTTGTTATGAGAGAATATAAATGGTTCAAATAATTTTAACATTTAATTTGATCATCAAAAAGTTGAAATCTTCACTAGATAAACAGATTTATAAGATGATCTGATGTAAGAATAGATTTCTTTAAAGTACTCGCAACTGGTTTGTTTCATGGCCAATTTTGACAACTTTCAATTTTCAATTATACAACAAACTTCAATATAGTGCTGTATTGTGATGATGGCATTTAAATTTTGATATTCTCAAAAAAGGATTATTATAGTAAAAAGAATGATTTGTTTAAGTGTCAGAAAATTTCAAGAACTTCCCAGAGATTGATTATTTTGAAATAATTTTTAGTTCTTCAGGTGATAAAAAGTCGGAGTTTTTCCTTTGCTATAATTCTGTTATTTTTCCAAATTCTTGTTTTAAACTCAATCCCAAATTTTAATTTATGCGTTAGATCTACCATTTGAGGGAAAAAAATTCAAAATATCATCATTTTAATAGCCTTGATACTAGTGGTGCCAAATTCGTATATCATTACTTGTATTTCAGCAAGAACACATGAAAGAAAACTTCTATGATGTTTAAAAAATATAATTGTTCAAAATTTGAGACTAGTCTTATAAGACCTTGTACTCCAACCAAAGAACCACAATCAGAAGAGAAAAATCAAAGATTAGAAAGCATAGAATCCAACATGGCAACAATTATTGCAAAAATAGACATGCATCAATTGTTATGGCAACCCGAGAAATTGTGATTGCCAAGAATACCCATCTTAAGTTGAAACATTGGCATTAGCTTGTGTCTCCAAGGTTAAGTGTAAAGCACCTCTCAGTGTTTCAAAATTTGAACCTACAAAACTAGGAATCAGTCGTCGTAGGTAACCTGCAGGTAACTAAGTCCATGTTTGACCTGTTCTACAAACATGACGTTCAAATCAGTCATTATGCTTGGAGTTGCCAAACTTAAGGGTCAATCAGAAAACCAGTTTCTCCCGAAAATCATTCAGCAATTGTATTTTCTTCAGGAAAATAAGCCACATGTCACGAAACTAGGTTGCAAGGCTGCATGAGAAGCAAGCTGTGAACATCATACACGATGCTGCTTCTCCCTCAGTCAAAATTTTTATTCTAAGAGTCACTTATTCATTACGGCAACAACTATATGTTCAGGTTTTTTTACTTTTCAAACATTTCATGCCATAAATTTAGCTAGATCTAGAGTTGACAGTTGTGGATTTGAATAGCGATCTTCAGCAGTGCCGTGATAACCTACACTACAAATCGGAGAGCGCACATATTGCAGAGCATGATACTATTACACGCAAAATATAAGGCTACTGAGATTACGCAAAGTAGATCGGCAGTCTACAAAATTTCTGGACTTATCAACCAAATTCCAGTCTTCAGTAAATGTACACAGTGCATGTGATTTCCTCTGTTACTTCTGGCTTTACAATAGAGGAATGCTAATGTCTCTACGTAAGACATGATCAATACAGATGTGGGATCAAATTCTCAAAACCTTCACTAACTGCTGCCGGAGCACATTGTAGATGAAGATAGTAGTTTCATCATCTCAAATACAAAGAGCTGAACCACAGGGAGAACAGCACAAACTCACTGACAACAATCGCAGGTGACCCAATTCCAAATACTGGAACAATGTCTACACGTAGCCAACTCTCCACCAATCCACCTAGCACCGCTCCCGACACAAGTCCCCCAATTGAGATGAGAACCGCTTTTGCTGCATACACAACAACCATTTGAAGATCCATTAGAAAGTCACTACTTTGTTGACGGATGATGAGTCAACGTGTTATCTTCCTCCTAGCAACAGCAAAGTCGATTGCAAACATTGTGACGACCTTGGTTTTCGATCATTGTTTGCACGAGGGACCAACAAAGTTCCGAACCTCGATAAAGTCTATGAAAGCTGGGCATAATGATTGACAAACAAAATAAATAGATGTACCACTTGAAGGGCCTCACCTAATTTGGTATTTTTTTTCCTCAGGAAGTATACAGCGAGTCCAAATCCAACAGCTAAAATAAAACCTGGGGTATCTTGCCCAGCCAGCGCTCCTTCAATTGGAGATGAAGTAACTCCAGTTGCAAAAGTCCAAACAATCAAAGCTGCATATAGTCCTGATTGAAGTCCAAGTTCGGAATTTGAAGGAGTCTCAAAAGATACGGGAGCATTTTTCAATGCCTTCTGCAACCATTCCGGTCCTCCGCCAGAGGACTTAGGCTTTCTAACGTCAGCATATCGGACAGCGCTATCAACAACTTTTCCAGCTCGTCGTTGTGACAGACTTTGCATCAATAACATGTCGTATGCTGCCTCGACCTGCAAGAGATCCACGGCCAACTTATCTACAAATTGCTGCATTACTAAGAGGCGGGTGTGATCACATTGAAAAAGATACTCAAAATGATACACTAGAAGACAGAACCTATGAGTGCTAACCTGCACAATTTGTTCTTGATCTCCACCGCTCTTCTCGGTCATCACCTTTTTAGCTCTTAATATTTCTTCAAAAGATGCACCCTCTCTAACTCCAAGCAGTTGCAAAGCATTCTCTAACGACATATCTGAAGGGAGGGGTTCATCTGCTGTCGAATCATTAGCTTGTACTATTGTGCGCAAGTACCGCTGGCCAGATACATTTTTGGTGTGACTAGAAATTTTGGATAAGCGTGCGCCCAAAAAGGAATCGCTTGAAAGACGTTTAAATAATAAAGATGAAGAGGCGTGGTTTGGAGCCGCCAGAAAGGAAGAGAAAGAGGAACTGGTGATAGGAACTAGAAACAAACGGGGTGAGCATGATGAAGACTTCTCACACAGAATCGCCTGTGAGCCCACAAATGCTGCAATTATAAACTTTGTTGAACCTAGCCATAAGAAGATATCTACCAAGACTTGGGCTTCACATAATCAACTTCTCTCAACGTTACATGATGACATCTATCCAATAAATTAGAATAGCACAACGACAGGTCAATCTGTATTAGAGTCTGATTTCACAATTGCCGTATTAAAAAAGGAATTAACAGAATTAATGCTTCATACTCATAAAAAGGAAAATTTAAAGTGATAAAAAAAACACTGACCTGTTGACTGGAGCTCGATGTCAGAACTTGCGACTGCAAACACTGTACTAGCGCCATTTTATCCTCTGGAAATCCTCAAATCTGCAGTCAACCTCATAGTCACGCACTCAGCATCGAATGTCTAAGAATACAATCCCAAGGCATTTAAGAAAAGACTTGATGTACAAATGCCTCTATTGATCTGCACAATAATTCATTAAGAACAGCAGTTTTTAATTGGTGCAAATTGAACACATTGTCAAACCAAATGCTGATGTAATGCTTTATAAAGTCCAGGATGAACACATTGCCTTAAATACTGCTCTAAATGGTACCCAAGTTAGTAGCAAACTTCCAACTTCGAAAAATGCTTGAAATCCACCAGTCAGAATTGTGAAAGATCGTCAAGGGAAAGAGAAAAGAAAGGTTTATAAGATAGATAGAAAGAAAGAAAGAAGAAAAGAAACAGCGAGAGACTGTAAAGGACCCTGCAACTGCTTCTTCGTACATTTTCCCTTTCTCAGAATGAGTGATAGCTGGTTCTGGCTGCAAAGGTGGCTCATGATTAGATATCAGTCTAAGATTCCACTAACCAGCTAGCTGTAATTCTCTTTCGTGTCTCAGTACTGCAATTACACCGCAGCAAAATTCTGGATAAAATCTCGACAGAAAACGCAAAATGCTCTGTGTACACGAAGCCCTACAACCAATCCCACACACTTGGACCAAAACTCGCGGGGATGTAGAGCCTGGGAACCAAAATGGTCGACTCATTCCACCGCCACAGCACAATATTCCAGAAACCCACCAAACTGCAAAGGGCTTCACTATCAAAAGCTTCGAAAACGCAAATCAAGGCTTGACAATTACACGAGCGATCTCTGGACACTGAAATCCACGAATAAGCAAACGAGGAGACACTCACGAGGTTCAAAAATGCCTCCGACAAGCACGCCCACGTCTACTCTCAAACAACCGCGGTACGCTTGACACACAAAATTGGGAATGCAGCGGAGCAGACTGCTGCTCCGAATGCGGAGCACGAGGTGGTAACGTGCAGGGGCAAGCGAGGGTTTGGTAATTTCGTGCAATGGAGGGTGGCTATGGCGTAGCCCCTCCACACGGACGGATGCAAACCGATGGAAGCCAGCGCTGCATCAATCAACACTACAAACCCAGAGGGAAACTCGTAAGCCCATTAGCCGTAGGGATACTGGTAAAACCGACGTGGCTATCTCGCAAAGCAGGCAGCAAATGAAACTCCTACGTGGATAATGCCGTGGCTGACGTCCATCGTTCCTGTGGGCTCTTTGGATTTGGAGCCCTCTCAGCCAAAATATGACAACTCTTTCTTCAAACAGCGGAAATCCATTTTATTACGGTTGAATCTCAGTTTCTCGAAAATATCAGAGTCGTCTCCATGGAAAAGTTTTGATTGGTGGGTGAAGGCGATACAGGTGGACTGCCAAGGTTGGGATCAAAACAAAAGATTCTGCCTACTTTGAGTTTCGTAAAACGAATCGGAAAAGTTTTTTCACAAAAATTCAGTCGTCCGTCAGTGTGCGACACACTTGTGTGCTTGTCGATACTAATATAAGGTTCAGATCACAATTGCTCTGGAACTTTCTTTCTACTCGAAACCATCATTCGTTTTCAGAGTCAGGGTCTGTAAAATGGTAACCATAGAAATCCTAATTTCTAGTATTTCGATTGCAATAGATACCTTGTGACCTATGAATTTGTAATGATGTAAAACACCTTCGTTCCTTATACTTTAGTACACATTTGTACAAGTAAATCTAAACTCTCATCTGTGAAATGAAACCGAGCACCGTTTGGCACTCAAAATGAGGCTCAACTACCACTAAAACCAGGTTCTAAAGCTACAAGGGGCATGCAAAGCACGGCTTCCCGTCATCCTTTTTACCTCCGCTGTCTACGACCTCTTGTACTGTCTCTTTGTGACAGAAAAACCAGGCAGAAAGTTCGTCGTCATCTCAAATATGTGCAGGCGCCACAGAGGAAGATATAGGGAACGAGGGATGAGGCGAGTTCAAGAGTCCACGACGAAGGAAGAACCTTTGTAGAAATAAGTAGTGCCAAGGAGGCGAACACCCAGCCCAGGACCAGCGAGCCAAATCTGTACATAGCCAAAGACCGGCATTATAAATTACAACCGGGATCGCCGCAAAGTCTAATGCTTCTCCAATAACCTAGATTATAAATAAGTAAATGGAATCTGAAAGTCAACAAACCTTTCAATTAGGATAAAATACGTGATTGCATAAGAAACATGTCGGGTCAAAAAATCATTGGGCTCCATTTCAAATCCTGAAATAAGACCATAAATACAGTGGCAGACTCAGAAGGCTCGCGGTAGAGAACATACCCAATAAGAAAAGACCTGCCAATCTTCTTGATACAGTCATTGAGGAAGAATATACACGCTAGAAATGAGGTGAGCACCTGACGGGAAGACCAACAAATGGTTGTTATCATCAACAGTGTTTTATTAGAAACTGAACTTGTCTTCTGTAAAAATGAGCTCAAAAACTCTGGCAACATATGCAAGCTTTCATCGGAATATAAAAGTGACCAAGAACGATTGTCCAAAATTGTAACAATGCACCAAAAAGACAAGTGAAAAGCATGTGTCCTTATTCTTTACGATACGTCGTTCAAAGTTCATGGATACAAGCCCGCAGCGTGTGACTTGAAATGAACCCGCTGTTATTTGTCATCACTGCTTCGTTGCTTTAGTGAGAGAAACCAAGGGTTCGAACTGACGAACACTTGAAGGACATTCTTACCTGAAAAGCAGGACCCCCATTTCCAGGTTTGAGCACGCTCTATACTCCAACCAGAACATAAAAAGCGGCTATCCTTAAAATGACTTCTTTATTCGGAATTTGATACATATCAACAATCTTTTGCTGCCAAGCTGGCAGTGGTTTGATCTCCTTCTTTGGCTTGAATTGAGATTTTTGGTATTCACGCAATTTCTCCATCATAATCTTATCATACGCAGCCTCACTCGACTCCACACCTTCTGCATCACCGCCGTACTTAAATATCCAAAGCAACACAACAGCCACGCATGCCATGTTTTAAGATAAGAAATACAGCTTGCAATACTCAGTGATAGAATAATAGCACAAAATGTTCGTAAACATCTCCAAGTGTCACATACACTCACACACTCCACTATATATAGATGTGTGTGTGTGTGAGAGTGTGTGAGTGTGACAAAGAGATAGGTAACATAGATACCTGACCAGCAAGGTAGATCCGGACTTCTCGGACCTCTTCCTCCCCAGCTTCTCTGTGGATCCCTAAGAGCTTGTAGGGGTCTCGCTCTCTAGTTCTTGGAAATGCTGTTCAAGCATTACAATCCAATTTATGATAAATAAGAAAACACAAGTGAAAAAATCAATCATTCCACATATGTGCATGTTCCAATCATCCACTGGCAGCAACAAGCACATTGTCATCCAGACTCAGCTAACATATTCTGCTTAAAGACTGCACACTACCCAGCATCTACTGGCTTCACATAAAGTCTGGTACAAAGGATGTGCATCAATTTAATCCCTATGCATTCAAGACTGAATGACACGATAACTGAAGAGTGGCTGACCAGAATTTGACCCACCCATAGAACGACCCGTGGCCAAGCAACCCCACCTCGTTGACAGTAGTCTTGACCACGACTTCCTGGAAGTGCCCACATTGCACAGAACAATAAATTGGAATACTCATCAATTTCCAGAGAATATATAAATATCGTCCTTTCAAAAATGTATTCGCCACGCTGTTGAAGACCTAAAACCCCATAAAAGAACTAAGTGTTCAGTCAGTTATCGAGTAAACAAGCTTTTTACTCTCCAATACCAATATTCACGTTTAGATGGATAATCAGGAGTCTTTCATAAGGAGAAACCTTATTCCAGTTTCAAGTGATTCGTCTGTCTTCAATGAGTGTAACAACTGTCTAGACCTTGTGGCTGCACTTTGCAAGACTGCGTAACACCAGGAAAATATAATCACATTAGATCATCGCAAAAGCTTGAGAGGAAAAACCAGGCAATTCTGTCATTGACCAAAGTCTACTGGAGATGAATCCATGCGAATACCATAAACAAAGATATAGGGACACGAGCAGGGACACAACTACACAATCTGCGGAAATTTGCCCATCGAAGTCATACTTAATAGACCAAGCTTCATACAACTTCACCAAATGGAAGAGCCAAATCAATTCGTAGTGGCCAAGAAAGGCACGCTGGCAGAAGGTAAACTTTAAAGACAACAACATATAGCTACACACCGCTTTGAGAGATAAAAGCAAGTGCACTCTGCAGTGTCATGTAGTCCATACCATACCTGAGCACCTCAACTTTTTAGCATGGTACATTGCGATGGATTCAACACTGCAGCTACTAGCAAACGAACTGTTGGCATTGGTTTGTAACAGAGGCTTAATACAACTCCCCATTGAGAAGCCCGTCAAATTACCAGCTAGTGCCGTCATCCTGTTCACGTGATCATAACAGACTCAAAGCATAAATGTGTAACCCACAGAAGTTAAAAGCTCTGATACAGGGGCTAATGCATACATTCCCAATTGCGAAGTAGTGAACAAATACTTCATATGGAAAATTTGATAAAACCAAGATCATTGACTTCCATTAATAATTAAATCCCCGTATCAGACAGATCACTCCAATTAAAAGCCAAATACACGCAAGCAGCCTTCATCCTATCATATAGAAAAATACTGTGCACGCAACTGTCCGCACCTCTCAGCGTTTCCTGAACGACCTTGTCACCACTTGGTCATGGCAGAGCAAGGGATCATAAACCTACACATATTATTTCGTCAAACGAATCCTAATTTCACAACCTAGCTACAGCGAACCCACGTAAGATTTTCTCCGCTGTCATGGAAAACACATTACAAACGGAAACTGGGAGCAGTGTAGGTGAAACAAAATTGGCCAAACGCGTTGAGGTCACAACCACGAGAAGCATACTCACGCTGAAGTTTGGAAACACTTTTGTAGCAATGCCAGGAGTAAGCTCGGCTCATGTGATGTAAACTCGGGTGCGATATGCAACCGAGGGAAGGAAAGCCATTCGAAGCCGAAGCCGAAGCCGACGAGGAATAGGTGCCGAGGTTTGCTGGCTATGGGGAACGGGGGTGGAGAGATTTTGCGAAAACCCAAACCCTAAAACCCATTCGAAGGGCACCAAAACACAAATGCTCAGAACCAAACCATAATAAAACAAGACACAACAAAACATGAAAAGTTTGTCATGTTAACTATAAAGTAATTGATTATTGCAAACAATGTTGTATTAATATTTGACAATTAGAAAAGCAAAAAAAAAATTTAAAAGAAGAAGAGCGTCATGTATTTTGTATTGTTTCTGGAGCATCATTATGTTTTGACAAGTTTTTTTTGTCACAGTAAACTCAGTGTATTAGAATATATATACATACAGTAATCATTTTGATGCCTTGATCTTCCAAACATATTGCTCTGTATTAAGGCATCTCAAGGCCAATGTAACGCTAAATATAGTCAATAATATTCATTACAAACAAGTTAATAAAAAATTTAATGTAGTATTAAACTTAAAATATGTATTTTTGAACATTTATGATTTTTTAATAATTTCTGCAAAAAAATATCAAAAAAATATTTAAATAAAAATATGTATCTGCATATACACACACACACACACACATATATATATATATATATATATATAGATATATAGATATGAAGTTTTGCTAGAATAAAGTTTTATAGCGAATAGCAAAAATACATTTCATTTAATATAAAATTATGAATGCACAAATATAAATCTAATAAAAATCACAATATCATTCATCTAATATTTTTGTAAACCTGAAACAGAAGAAATTGGTTAACATTAAACAGAGGTGATAATTTATACAAATTATCATGTCTATGCAATATCAAAGATTGTGTTCTAGTAATATCAAATCATAGCACCACTCAAAACCAAAAAACTGGTATTAAATCAATGTATGTAAAAATATTGTTACCAGATAAAAATGCATTAAAATATATTGTATAATTTAAAAGCCTTGGTGTGATGTAATTCAAAACTCAAACTTATAACATAAAAAAATTGAAAGTTTAAAAAGATTTTAAATAACTAAATTAATAATTATCATAAGATAAAACGCTGTTACAAAAATAAAAATTATGATTTGAATTTTATACTGTTATTAGGTCCATGAAACTTATTTAGACGATCAGAAGTTTTGATTGTGTATACCAACACAATTTCGGAATTCAACTTCAAAAATAATTCACCATAATCTCTGTTTTGCAATCTCTTCTTCCACAATATATTGGCCATAAATTATATTGATGAGTGTCAAGATTTGTAACCACAAAATATAGTTGAATCTTTTAAACATCAAACTTATCATGCTTGCAATGTAAAAAAGGAGAACATTTACACAATCTTACTCCACATTTTTCATTACATTTGTTTTGAACAAAATTTAGGTTTAAAATTTCACATATTTCATTCCATAACTTTTGATTCAGAGGGCTCATATCCTCAATAACAGGCTGAAGCTTCTTTTCTAAAGATTTATCAATCCATTCACTTAACATTGTTGTTGAAGGTGACAGCATTTCTTTCATTTGTGGCCAATATTTTAATGGAATTTTTGCTTTTATTAGTTGTGGTCGTGTTAAGGAATTGAGAACATGGCACCAACTTGCTTTTGAAGTTGGTGCCCACAATTCGTTACATTCCAATATCTTATTCGCGGAATCTTTAAGAATTCTACAAAGAATGATTTGATTTTGTCTTATTTGATCTAAGTTTGCTTGCTCTTCAAGACACACAATTCTTTCTTCAAGTTTGTCACATTGTTTTTCTAATTGTTCAATATCCAGTTTTGATTCATGTAATATATGTTTTTTACTTAAAGAATCACCAAAAACTCTATGACAATTATGCATGATTATTAGCAAATTTCACATCTTGAATATATCTATATTTTAGTAAAGTTTGTTTCAAAATATTTTTTAATATTTTTTAAAAAATACTGTATAGTTTATGTTTTAATTTTAAAGCTAAGTGGATGGTTGAAAATGTATGGATATATCCCATAAAATGCATAGAAGAGCTTCTTGTGCAACATGAGAATTGAAATGGTTTTGATATTTAAAGATCATTAAATGCATACTTGATCCACCATGATAATCTTCCAACTACTTGTAGTAGGCATACGAGATACTTTACAAAAATATATTATCTTATACATTTAAATAGAAATAATATAATAACATAATAGAAAGCTGGAATAAACAAAAAACATTCTAAGTTGCATATGTGACAATATTTAATTGGAATGGTAAAAACAACTTTTACTCTATGCATGTGAATTAAGAATAACAATGGAAATATAGGATGAATTGAAAAGAAACATTCCACTGACACACCATGAAAAATTTAAGAAACTATTTATTTCTATGAAATAGTCTTGAAGCCTAACAACTACATATTCACACATACACATATACATACATACATGTATAATTTTAAAATTAAAAGTAAGCTAATTCACCAAACTTGTACAACGAAACCATCATCAACAATTAACACAGGAAGGTATTCCATTCCATGATGATAACCATCATAAAGAGTAATTCATCAAAAACAAACCAACACAACAACAACAACCACATTATCTTCAATCTCATTTCTTTTTGCTGAAACATGTTTTCCAATTAAAAAAATAATAATAATAATAAAGAAAACACACACACACACACACGAATGTTTTTGAATATTAAGCATGATGCTTGGACACATGTGAGCGGATTCAGGGCATACGTCATGCAGGCGTCAGATGCCACATGTCAACCCCCCAGTGCCATGGCGCACATCGCTTTTCACACGGCCACTATAGTTTTCCTTCTGAGTTTTCTTCATGCAACGGTTGCGATAGAAAGGAGAAATTCCAGGGGGCGTCGGCGTCGGCGTCGGCGTCGCAAGAGCGGCTTGATTTGTCCGCTGGGACTGGGCAATTCCAGCGTGTGGCGGCAGCCAAGTCACGTCGGGAATGGGAACTGAGAGAGATCATCCGAGATGGGGCGACGATGAAGGCGAGAGAGATGACAGCTCCGTCGCCGAGGTGGATCCACTGACATCGAGCACTTGTTCTCCGGCATTCAGTCACACTCGACGGCGATCCGAGATACTAATGTCACGATCGGCTTCACTGCACCCTCCGGTCTAATCCACTGCAGTCGATCACCCGACTGCTTGCCTTCTGCTTCGAAATCACCAGCACAGTTTGAAACACACTCTCCATTCCGCGATCGGGCTAGTGCGACCTGGAGATCAAGTGGATTCTTCGTCGCTGGCTATTAAGAAGCGGCCTCCAGAAGCTATAGCTCTTCTCGCCACCGTTTCTCTTTCTTCTCAGGTGCGCCGTTGCTGTCATGAGAGCGTTGCAAGGCTCTCGTTCCAACTATTGATCACTGGCCTGACCGTGGATAATTGGGGGACGCCTGATAGTGATCTTCGTTTACTCTCCTCCTTGGATCCGGTGTTCGTGTTTAGAGATTAGAGATTTTTGAGCACGTGTGTCGAGTTTGAAGAAGTTTTGTTGTTATTTTCTGTTGATCGGAGTATACTCTAGCTGGTTATGTTCCTTAGCTGTTGTCGCCGAGAAGGATCGTGGTTTTCGTCACCGTGGAGACCATGATCCCTCTTGTAGGACGCTCACATTGCTTGAATTGGATCACATTGGGTTCCATGTCTCGTGTCAACTGATTTTTTTGCGATGACATGAAGATCTCGTAGAGTAGCTAGCTTCGAGGTCGGAACTGCTGCTTTGTTTTTCTGATCTACATTATCTTTAGAAGTAAATTACTCAAAGTCAGACGACCTTAGAATTGAGTGAGCGCGTGAGTGAGTTTACTTTATTGGAATCATCTCTTTCGAGTGGGTGATCGATCACAATGATCGCTTGCAATAACCCGTGCTCCCGAGATGCATTTACGGCGCAATGGAGAGAAGTAGTCGGTATCGATGGCTAGTTTCTGCGTGTACGTTGTTAACTGCTTTGACAATTTCTGCGTGCTCGGGGTCCTGCCAATATTACGGATGAGTGTGTTTGAGGCCGTATCTATCATAGAACTTTGGAATTTTGTGATTGTATTGAGTTTGATGTCTTCTGTCGGCGAGAGGTTAACCAATATCTCACTGAGCATTTCCTCCCATGTTTTATTCAGCAGATACGCAGCAGTTCCTCATCAACAATGCTTCACACTATCTAGAGTGCTTCTTACGAGCACGCATCTAAGTAATCTCCTGCCATTGTGATGGTTTGCAGCAATCGATTCGAGCCGTCTGCTCTGAAGAGGAGCTGTTGAGCACAGGTAGGGGATTTCCATGGCTAGTATGGAAGGATGGCTGTACTTGATAGAGTCCAACAGGTTGATGATGACAAACCCTCGGAAGCGCTACTTTGTGCTTGCTGGGAACCGGGCGTTTTTTTACAAGGAGAAGCCTGCTCATCCAGACGAGGTCAGTTCTTTGCCTGAAGCAGACACCGTCTTGAATGACACATCTTTGAAATGTTCTTGTTAATGTTGTGTATACTATAGATTTTCAATACTTGTAAAGCTATTTGGCTTAAACACCTTCTTGTTCACCTCCCAATTCCTGCAAACGTGCGTGAATCAGGTTGACGGCATTCGTTGTCGATCTGTAAGGACTCATTTTATTGGAACTATGCCTTGACGATTGATGGTGTACTGGTATGCACTAAGTCGACAATCTGCCTAAACACTGTGAAAGGAATAAAACTCTCATGTTCAGGATTTCACAAGATAGACCTTCAAATTATCCGCGGCAATCCTATGCTGTGGTGCGATTTATCAGCTCTGGGGCTGGTGAAAAATTTCGGGGATTAGAATACGAAGGGTATTCTATGTTGTGGTTGAGTACTTTTAGTCGTCGACAATCCTTTTTGATTCTCCGAACTGTCATTCCAACTTTCTGAGATGCGCATTGATATTTGTGTCTTGCGTGATCGCTTAGGCATCTGTTCGCTCAAAAATGAGGTGCAGTCACTAGTTCATGCAAATATATCGTTTGTGCCATTTTGGATGCACAATTGAAACATTGTATAAGAAGCGAGTGAAGCGATTACCAGATTGCATGTTAATTGGACTGATTTTAGGCTGAAGTTTTGAAAGGATTTTTGGTCGTTTTTATTTGTATCTGTGCAGACTCCTATCAAAACTGGAATTATTGATCCTTCCACGAGAGTAGCTGACCATGGGCGAGAAAAAATTCATGGTTGGACCCTTTTTGTGTTCGAAATATACGACTCTTACAACCACGACGACAAGCTGAAATTTGGAGCACGGAGTTCTGAGGAGGCAGCAAGGTGGATGTCAGCGCTCAAGGAAGCGGCTGAGCAGGTCTGAGTTCGCTTCAAAGCATAAGAGACCTATACCTAACTTCTATGTAACTGAGCTTGGAAGTTGGATTATATGAACACACTTGCTGTCGACTGATTCATTGCTTGTGGATGCTAAATACAGGACACCCTGCCAGGAAAATATAGACTATTTGTCCCTGCTAATAGGAAACGGAGATATCTTTTCAGGTATAGTAGCATCATTCTGGCGATTCTGTTGCTACAATTCCATAGTTTCTCAGCTTTGTTTCATTAATAGGAAACGGAGAGTGCGAGTAACATTCATTGATTCTGGCACCTGCTCTGTCAATCTCGTGAATATGATGTACAGTTTTTGATGTATGCGTGACTGTCACAGGCTCTCAGTAAGGAGACGCAATGGTCTTGTAAGAGACCTTGCTTGCGGTGCTGGCTCTATCACAAATCCTCTCTTTCGAGAAGATGCAACAACTCCCGCAGGTTATTCTACATTTCCTTGAAATATCATGTCATTATAATCCGTTCATTGGACATCTACAGGGACAATGCATTGTATTGTACTTTTTTGGTGAATTTTCGTAGTTGTGGCTATTGCTGGGGTAATGAATCAACTATTGAGGTGCTTCATTCTTCCACTCTTGCAATGGATGTTATCTCACCTTCTTCCTCGCGCGTGTGCACGCGGGTGTTTCAGATTTACCAGGGTGGATTGGATCTTTACTCCCAAGGGATGCATCTCCAGATGTGATAGCCGATTCGCCATGGCAGATATTTGGCTGTAGAAATGGTAAATCTGTGGGTTTGTGACATGATCTTCCTCATTTGCATTCACGTGCTTTCAAAAAGTTAGATATGTAAACTTATGATACCAATTTTGCTTCACTTTTTTGTGTCCAGGATTGCGACTGTTCAGGGAAACCACTGATCACCATGGACTTAAGAGCATGGTGATGGGCTGGCCAAAATTACTCTCAGTTTTCTTTTGAATTACAATTTCTGCTTTTTTCTTTGAAATTGTAAATTGCATGCTCTAAATCGATGCCTACCAACAGTTCCATTTTAGACTTAGCAATTCAGTGTGCCGTGTATGTTGCACTGAAGTAAGTGGTTTCGAGGAGGATTTGTTTTTGTTTTTGTTTTTCTTTCGTGCTTTGTGTTATTAAAATGTGGGTTACTGAAAAGCTGTTTTCTTTTATTTCAGATACGTGGAGAGGATCCTCCTGCATTGATGGCTGTTGGAGTGGTTCAAGCTTCTTGTGAATCCGTATTTGAAAGTGTCATGAGCTTGGGTTCTTCACGGGTTGAGTAAGGCCCTTGGCTATTCACCACAAGTCTGATATTTGTGGGAATTTTTGACCAGTTACTGTTAACACTAATCTTTTTATGTTTGGAACTGTTGAGGTGTCACTCGTGCAGTTTGATTTCTCGCACAGGAACAAAACTTCGCCGGAAAAATCTGATGGTTTTTGGTGCTTTCAGGTGGGACTTCTGCTATTCTAAGGGGAGAGTCATAGAGCATATTGACGGCCATTCAGATATTGTCCACAAGCAGTTGCATAAATATTGGCTTCCCTGGTATGAATTTAGATTACCCTGATTTGATTAGGACTATGCTTAGATTTTTGGATAATTCGTTATTACAGAATGTGTTATCTACAGATTTACTTAACAATGTTTTATTCAAGGTGTTATTATAATTCTGCGTCCCAGCAGTAATATTATGTTTTTTTCTTCAAAAGAATGCTAGCTGAGGGCTTCATTCTAGGTTTAGTTTGAAGGATGCACAAGTTCCTCAGTTTGAGTTTCCAAGGCTGTATCAGATATGTAAACTTCTTTTTACCGAAATCTTCAACACCTAAAATTTATGTCGGATGAAGAGTCAGGCAGATGCTATTGCAATAGCCATAGCATGTTTATGAGCAGATTTTCTTTTTAATGAAAGAAGCGCAGGCGCATGAAACCAAGGGATCTGCTCGTGCATCGTTACTGGCGCCGTGAAGATGATGGCTCTTATGGTGAGTCAACATAAATTGTTTATTCGCCTTTATCCGCTTTTGTTTAAAGAGTTGCAATGCCTAAAGTGACCTCCTTCTGGACGTCCAATCTTTTAAGAGCCTTTCTTTTCGTTTTTTTGTAGTTATTCTCTACAAGTCGGTGAATCATGAGAGATGTCCTCCACGACGAAAGTTTGTGCGCGCATGGATCAAAAGTAAACTTCTCACTCATTCCAGTGGTCTCGCTTGACTCAATCATCTAATTTGCAGCCTTCGACAGGATGCGACACTGAGATTTGAGATGGTTTAGATGCTTCTACATCACGTCTAAACTTGGGATTGATACAAACAGGTGGAGGCTATGTCATATCGCCACTGCCACCTCAGGGTGGTTTCCCTTACCGTTGTGCAGTGAAGCACATACTAACCGTAGACTGGAAGCACTTCAACATGCGTTGGAGCCATTGTAGAAACAGGGACATCACGCTCAGAGTCCTTGAGAGGGTGTCAGGTATAATGAATGCCTTTCTGAACACCTCGCCTTAGTGTAAATTGCATTGTCTTCATCAAATTGATGAACGTGCTTCTATGGGTTTGTCGAAGGTTTTTGAACTTTCGTTTTACCATTCATTTTAGGCTTTCAGCTCCAAACTCTGTCGATTTTGAGGCAACAGCTCTGATCCTCTAAAACTATGTTGCTTTAACCTGTGGTTCTGATGACAAGCTTTAGAAAGAGATATAAACTGAACGACCGTTGTCATGTGATACCCGCATGTCTTGTAACTGGAAGCGCAAGCTAACTGGGCTGCTTTTCATCATGAGGATGTCTTCCCTGAAATCGATATTCAAGAAAATTTCTGATGTTTGTGATACTTTATTCAGCTTTAAGCGAATTTTACAAGGTCAAGCCAGCGGACTACATGCCCATCTCCATCGGTCAAGACTTGAGGCGGCTAAATTTAACAGGCTGCAAGTTTCAGGTGTCCCAAAAACAGAACATTTCCTCAGTCCATCTAACTGATGATGAGGTTTCGCACTCACAGGGAAACAACACTGCAGGGCAGAGCATGTTCCGGCAGCTAGCTGAGGACGAGTTTTTTGATGTTCCAGAAGACTCGGCATGGGATACGGAGCTTGAGCCAGATCTGGACGGTCAGCGGAAATCAGCAGACCCAGAGGAAACCTCCGACGAAGTCCAGGTAAGATAGGGTTAAGACTTCATGTGTATCATTTTAAGACGATTTAAAAAAATATATCATTATGTTTTCTTAGTCTATGTTTTGTGACGATGGAGTGCACTCTGCTTGTCTTGACTCTTTGACTAATGACGATGGGTGCAACTCTGGGAACGAGTTGGCTATTTGAGCTGCCCTTCCTTATCCGAATGGTTTTGTCCGATCACATCACAGGATGGGCGCGTTCAAAGGCCGTGCACTGCTGCAACCATTGTGAAGCGCCTTCAAGGGATCACAGGCATGTTCTCACAACCTTCACAAGTACGACAGTTTTAGTATGACAATCCCACAGAAAGTTATTTGATCAATTTTTTGACATTTGATCAATTTCGCAGCTCAAAAGCGAATGCACCAGGACACCGTTGAAGATGGGATAGAACTGATGGTTCGAGCAGGAACTCTGCCTAAAAGTTCTTGCAGCTGCACCACGAGCTGTTATGAATCAGCAGAGGCAAGCGTTTTCTTAGTTCGTGGCAAACACTATTTGCATGACCGTAAAAAGGTAACCCACTTCATTATTTATTATTGGGTTTCTTCTTGGTGGTGAGAAGTTGTTCATTTGTGGATGAATCAGATAGTAAGATTAAGATTTGCTAACCTGGCACTTCGAATTCTGGACTGAGGAATATAGGTGGTGGCCGAAGACCCTGTCATGCAATTTGTTGCAGCTGATTGGTTGAAATCCAACAAGAGGGAGGACCACCTTGCCTCACGACCATCGCATCCAATCCAGAAATTTTTGGCCAATCAGGTAAATCATGTGATCTGTTTAAATCTGTCATTTCGGACTTATATGATCATGATTGAAGCAGAGGGAACCAAACTGGTTTATGATAAGCTTGTTGTGATACTGTAATCACTGCATTCCCAGTTTCATTAAGGTTTTTACCAAGATTTACGGGTAGACATATTTTCCACCAGCGTATACACGAGTCTAACTTGCAAAAATCTTTGTTGTTTTAGGAAAGGAATGAGGGCAGAGTCCCAGACCCATTTTTCTTCATCGTCAACATTCAAGTAAGTGTTGCCAAAACTTCTTTCTGCACTTAGATGCATGGTTCAGTACTATGCCTGCCTGACAGCGTTGCCTTTGGAAACGACTTGTCCATTAGCAAAACTGAAAGGATACGTCCCAATGCCTCGATTGGATTGTAGTTCTTCGTTGCTTATTGTGTTTGCTGATTCCAGGTTCCAGGATCCACAACATACTCTTTAGCTCTGTACTACATGATCACGTCGCCCCTGTCAGACTTCCCAATCCTTGAAAACTTTGTGAGCGGAGATGATCGTCACCGTAACGCTAGCTTCAAGCTCATCCCGCACATCGCAAAGGGGCCATGGATTGTGAAGCAAAGCGTTGGCAAGACGGCTTGTTTGATAGGACAAGCTTTGGAGATCACCTACCACATCGACAAGACTTACATTGAGGTGTCCAAAGACTCTGCAACAGCTTGTTGTTGTAGTGCATCTGTGACAAGTTGTTTCAGTCACGGTGTCAGTACCGTCGTTTCTTTAAGTCATTACCACTACGACTAAGTTGTTGTGCATATCTGTTGAGGTGCAGCTGGACGTGGACATTGGCTCATCCTCAGTAGCAAAGGGCGTGGTGAACTTGGTCTTGAGTTACCTGAGCAACCTTGTCATTGAGCTCGCATTCCTGATTCAGGTGATCAGTCACGTTTCTCAACCTCGCTTTTGAGCCACTGTTTTTGGTGGGGCTTCGTCATTTTTCCAGCTACCTTTTTTCTGTTACTTCTGAATCAGCACGCACAATCCAGTCCATTCTTTGATACTCATGGAGTGGGTGAGACATTTTTGTGTAGGCCAACACCGAAGAGGAGCTCCCGGAGTGCCTTCTTGGCACCTGCAGGCTTATGAATCTAGACATCGCCAAAGCTATTCCTGCGCTTCTAGAGTGATACGTCCACGTTCAGCAAGGCTCCATTAATTGCTTGACCCTCCTGTGGAAATAATATTATCCATCTATCTACCTCTCTATAGATTTACCAATCTACCTTTCTCATATATATATATATATATATATATATATATACATTTAATCTCTTGAAGCTTGCCACTTTGACTCAAAACGACCATTGATTATTTAGAAAGTGTGAAAAAACATTAAAGGCGTACTGATTCTTCAAAACCTTCCTCAACTGTTTCTTGAGAAATACATTGCACCAGATTTTATTTTATTTTTATTCTATATGTTTGTGTGTGTGTGTGTTGTTAATTGGTTCTCCTTTCAAGTGGTTTCAGTTTCTGCATATTAACTCTTGTGGGCCATCATGGGACATCTATGAATTATATGACTCTTTTAGATCTGGGCGTGTTAATTTTCAACTACTGGTTGTGTTTTTGTTTATTGTGTTAAATGCTTATTTGCATTGCACAGATAATTGTGTACACAAGTATCAATGTATTATGTTAAATGTATTAGTTAGCATACAATGATCATTCATATGCCCTACTGTTGACATAGTGGTACAGGGCTGGGGAGAGTAAGGACACACACTGAATTTTTATTAAGAAGAATGACATCCACCCCGAAAGAGCCCGGCCCTGTCCACCCCCTGCCCCGGTGAGGGTGCGAACAATGTTGTCACGTTGTCAATTTCTTCGTTGGAGGTTGACAGGAGATGGTAACGTTTTGTTGATATTCTGTGCGAGAACTTCCCAAAGAACACGAAACCCGCACAGTTATGCAAATTCAGTAAAACACTCATTAGTGCAGCAAAACTGCGAAGCTCCCGTGCTAGTATCATTCAATACCTCATTCAATGTCTATAACTCTCAGTTGTTTGTCAACCAAACGTGTTAAGGCAGCCAATTGGGTTGTTGACATGGGACGCAACAAATCCACACAGAGTTCCACCCCACACTGCACCTCACAGTTATGGCCACCAGTGATTGTCTTGAAATCTTGTTTAGGCTGGAGAAGTCTAGAGTTCAAATATTTTCTGGTTAAGTTTACCAGTTCATGTGTTTGTGTTGATCCCTGCGCTTTGTGAGTTTTGAGTGGCACATCTTTTTTTGTACTTTTCTCTGCCACCCAGTTCCACAAAAATTTACTGTTTCTGTCTTTGCCAAATTGGTAACAAACTCCACAAATGAAACTCTATAAATATCGGAGAATCTGCAATAAATATTGTCACCATTATACATATTTACTCCAAAAGACTTTGTTACAGTGGTTTTTACATTACAAAAAAAAAAAAAAAAAAAAAAAACTAGCCTTTTAATACAGCCCTTGCCTCCATCTAAAGGCTGTGTTAAAAGGCTATTAAAGCAATAAATTCACTATTTTAAAGATTTTAGAATTAAACAATTAATATTGGATTTTTTTTAATGCTTCTTATCCTTAGTTTTTTGTCAAAAGATATTCATGGAATACAAAACCTATATGAATTCGTCACATAAACACTCATTAGTCATGTATCTCAATCTTTAAAGGTATTAGGAAGATTATTCATCTACAACTCATAAATTGTATCTTTTAAGATGCTTAAAAATCACACCAAGTATTACCTAGGATTTATAATCAATATGTAGTAAGTAACTCTATGAACTTTTCTATATGTGGATAAAAATTATCATCTCTTGTAGCTTTAAAAATAGGCAAGTTGTATGCAATAGGTACTACTTTTATATTACAATAGGTGGATCCCTTGGTTGAGTCAAAGAATCTATGAATATAAGATTTAGAAGCAATGCATCCTCAATATCCACTAAAGATAAAATGAATCTAAATTCTTATTCTTTTTTATTTTTTTTCTTACATGAGTGTCATGGTTTTAAGATCTTTTCTTCTTACTAAATCATAATTTTTGAATTCAATATTATTATATCTATCATATGGCCTTCTACATGCTTTGTAAGTTAGCTTGATTTTTCTTAGATTTAATTTGTGACAATTGATTAGAGTAAAATTCACCCTTCAATACAAATTATAAGATGTCACAGATATATATATTTACTTAGATAAGAAGTGTTAGGTAGACAATAAATGAAGATAAATTAAATAATATCTTGTAGCAAAGCTTTTTAGAAGTTGCATAAATATGGATATGACTTTATATGTATTGTGTTGATTAGTAGGTTAAAAACTTGGCTAACAAGTTAGCCACGTATTGTATGTGTTGATTGCTCATAGTATAAGTTAACCATATGGCCTTATATAGGGAACTTATCTTGCAAGTTAGATATGTATCTTGCAAGTTGGACATATATCAGAGGTCTTATAGAATATTGCTACATAGCTCTTTATTAGATAGTATATATGGAGGCAAGAATAAAGTCTCTTTTATTCTTGTCAATGTCTTTATTATTCCTAGTCTTATTTCAAGAGATTAATTTTCTTCTCTTAGGAAATAGCCATTCTAATTCAATATTATACCATCTTTGAGTGATTATCTACTTTTTTTTCAATGATATAAGAGTGTATTAATTTTTAGTTGTTTAAAATTGATGTCTTTGATAATTTAACAAGAAAGCTAACTTGTTATTTTTGTTTTGCTTTTAGAAGTGTAAAAATTATATTTTTTTTATAATTGAGTTTTGAAAGTTATAGATTATTCATCTTTAAATTAATATTTTAATTTTCTAACATTGATTTTTTTCTTAAAAATAATAGATAATCTCTTTTTGTGGAAATTTTTATTTGATATTAATGGTTGTAGATTATTGCCCTTTAGTTTGATTTGTAGATTTTATTTTAATTTTTTATAGAAATAAATATTAAAGATGCTACTATTAGCCGAAGTAAGATTAGATTTGTAACTATTGCAAATTTTCATGAGCTTGTTAATATTCTTAGGGTAGAAATCTCATGTATTTCTAATATCAACCATAGAGATATTATTCCTATGTCTATGAAAGAAATCAATATTGAGGTTTAAAGTCTAAGCCAAAAAGTTTTGAAAATAAGAAAAATAAATAAATCAAGTTCACAAATAAATCCAAGAAGTTTTGTTATTATAAATATAATTGAAACAAGGATAAGTATGCTAGAAAATTTTGTTGGAAGAAAATCAAAGTTTTAAGAATTTCTACAACAAATGAAGCTCTATCTAAGATTGCATCTTTTCTATGTCAAGGACATAAAATGGAAGAAAATGTATAAACTTGAAAAATCTGTGTCAAAAGAAAAATGACAAAATAGCAATAAAGTAGTATGTATATTAAAAAACAACTGTCATGGCTATTGCCAAAAGACAAGGAAATTAAAGACTCTTAAATCTAGACTAGAAATAAGAAAAGAATTGATAACAGTGAAGAAAGCTTCTTTCTTACTTCTATGTATATTATCTAACTAGGAGCTACGTGGTGATGTTGTATAAGACTTCTAATATGTATTGACTTTGTAGAACACATGTCTTAGCTTACAAAACAAGTTTTCTATATGTTGACAATATAGTTAGCTTGTTCTTCAAGCTACCAATATGTGTGGTACATGGCCAACTTGTTGACGATGTTTTTCATCTAAAAAATCAATTATAGATACCTATAAAAGTCAAAGTAATATTTATGAAGCTTCTAAGAAGCTTTTATAAAAGATATGATGAAATTAACCTACTTTTACCTACTTTTATCTAATCATATAGATAATTATTGGTTTATATGTGTATATCTATGATAATACCACCTTTTTTAGGAACAAGTTCCATGAGGAGTGGTCATCATATGTTGAAAAAATCCAAGATAAGGCAAATTATATTTGCAAGATACTCTGATCTTTGTTCTCTTTAAAGATGGTTGATAGGGCCTCTCAACTATTGATAATGTCCCATACCATGGCAAGAAGACCATCCAGTTATTTGATTATTGTTGAGGCCTTTATAACTTTCTTTAAATAAAGCATTTGGAACATCGTTAAGAGTTTTTTCTACTTCTAGTAAAATCACCAAACATCGAGAGTCCCTTCTAAGGTTGTGATATCAAACGCATTGTACCTCACCATCTATTTGAGGAAAAATATGTCATTCTTCAAGATCTTCATTTTGATTGCGTCGTCTTAAAGATTGTGATAATTGCAATGTCTCATCCAATAAGTGAGCAAATAAAGGCTCTTGAATCAAATCTGCTAGTTGTTGATTCTCTATTTCTTTAGTATCACAAATATACAAAAATCACAAACAAGGATAGAAGGTAGAATGCAATCTTTCTTGGACCTTGTTGCTTTTAAAGCAAAGACTTACTATTCTTCATGTTAGTTTTGATAGATGTCATCAATGAAAAGCTTCCATCACCTTTGCTACATTGATAAGATTGTTTACTTGCTCCCATGTACATTTACTAATATTATATCTATATTAATGGATAAGATATTTCAATTTATTTTGGTGTTGCCTTGAATTTAGAACTTCTTCAATTTCAAACTCTTTATTATTGTCCAATTCTATAGGAAGAGATAGGGCTTATCTTCTTTTTGGTATGTTCATATTCTTGTATGATTCAAGAAGAGACATGTAGAAGACAAGATGGATCTTTATTGACTCTGGTAGATATAATTGATAAGCAACTAGATTGATTTATCTATAAATAGGAAAAGATCCAAGCTTGTAATAGTCCAACTTATCACAAGGATAAGTAGTGTTGATATTTTGATAAAATAACCATACCTTAAATTGTAGTTGTACTTTTTAATAAGCATCTGTGTTGATCTTTTGTCATTCTTGACTTTCTTTTAATTGCACCTTCATTGTTGTATGTAGCTTAGAAAAATGATTTGTCAAATGTTCCATTACAAGATTATTAATTTTTAAAAAGTCAAAAATATCAAATCATGGATGATAACTATAATTAGCAAAGAAAGATATTTATTATATAGAAAAATGTATTATATTATTATAAGCAAAGTCAATCAATAGCAAAAAGGTTTTTCAATTGTCTTGTTGAAAATTGATATTATGTCTTAAATATTGCTCCAAAACTTAGTTTACACATTCTATCTATCCATCAATTTGAGGATGAAAGATCAAAGAAAGTTTTAGATCCATCTTTAGAATCTTAAAAAGATTTCTCTAAAATCTTAATATAAATTGAGTTTCTTTATCCAACATAATATCTTTTAGCAATCCATGATATTAATAGATATTTTCAAAGAATAGATTGATAATTTTTTTACCTGTGATAGATTTTGTGCATAGTACAAAATATCTCATTTTGGTAAAATGATCTATTATTGTGAATATAAAATCATACAAA